GGCTTAACCCCGAGAGTGGACACCCAAGAAGGGCTGTCGCGCTGAAAGGGGCCCCCCCCCTCCACGGACCGCACGGGGCCAAGAGTGGGCACCATCTGTGAGTCCGTGACGGCATCACCATCTGATGAGACTGCATCAGCTGCTTTTCCCCCCAGATACAGAACAGAAATATTTATTGCCTTTCTTCATTTTTAGTGATCATTCTGCCATTTCCATCTAGTAATGGACCAACACCATTGGAAGGATTCTTTTTGCTCCTACGATACTTTAAAAAACTCCTTACTGTCCTTAACTCTGGTAGCCATACAGTTCTCCTTGTGTCCGGCAGCTTCCCTTATCAATTTTCTACAATTCTTCGCTTCTGATTGATATCCATTACTATCAGTTTCCCCTCACCTCCAATTTGTTCTTTTTTATAGCTGCCTCCACTTCCCTTCTAAACCAGGTCGGTTTGTAACCAGTACAGCCTGGTTTTTGGAGATCTAAGAAAGTGTAGACAAATTCAATTTGTCATTCCTGTTTTTCTGTTTTCTCTGACCCTTTTAAAGCACCAGGTAGGGGCAGAGAGAAGCCTGTGGTCAGGGAGGGCTGAGAACCAGGCAGCTCAGGTCATGGGGTCAAAGGGACAGGACCCACCCCCCCCAGGTCCCTAAAGCCCAGCCCTGGTGGCCAGGGGAGAGCACCCCCTGCTGACCCCCCTGCTCCCCACAGCCCAGCGCCCCCTGGGGCCAGCCCTGCCAGCAGTGCTAGCGAGGCTGCAGCTCTGGGCCCGGGGCAGGACCTGGGACCCGAAGCCCGGCCGTGAAGCTGCGCAAGCCCAGAGGTCCTGATGCATCTTTTGGTCCCGCCTTTGCAGGCAGACACGTGCCAGTTGCACTCGCCCGAGAGCGGCCAATGGCTGCAGCCAGACCTGGCAGGAGGAAGCCAGCTGTAGACAGGAAACGCGTCAGCTGGGCGTCCCCGCTTGTGCGGCTCAGGGGCTGAATGTCGGGGGGCTCGGAGGTGCCAGGAGCCCGAGGGGACGCGGGACGCCCCCTGTCTGCGCTGAGCGGGGCCATGCAAAGCAGCAAGAACTGGTCCCCCCGGGCAAATGGGGGTGAGTAAT